ATAATAAAAAACCATAAATTAAGTAAGTATAAATAATTATCTAAAAATCAAATCATAATGAGTTGTTATAATATAAATAGTATTATAAAATTAAAATTAAAAATACAATTTATTTTAATAGTCAGGTATTAGTATTAGGTATTAGGTATAGTCATAATTTTAATATTTTATTGCTGGTATTTCAAGAATAAATATGTGTGTGTGTGTGTTTTTTTTTTATTGTGTGTGTGTGTTCACCTTTTGAGGTGATACAGTTTTTCAATTTTCTACTTCAACATCTTTTCTGGTAGGAAAGTGAATTTAGTTGGTACATAGGGGGTCAAAAGTAAAATAGTCAAATAGTTTTCAAAAGCGTTTTTAAAACCAACAAAATTATTATTCAAAAACAGTTTTCGGATTTGGTTTTTGTTCTTTACAAAAATTAACCATAGATACATGAAATTTTCACTGAATGGTTATATGTATTAGCATTTTCTAAACACCATAAAATTATAAAAGTATTTTGACTATTTATGGGCATAACAAATTGTATTTGTTTTTTTTTTTTAAATTAGTGTACATACAATTTTTTTCGCTTGGTCAAAATAGTTGAAAATTTAATACAAGGTTCCTGATAAATTGTTAGTGGGAATTAAAAAAAAATTAATTTTATGCTTAATGTGTATTTACATACACAATAATTTTTTATGAGTGCCTGAAGTTAGAATTTTGACAAAATTCATCAAGATCACAAAAATTTGCAAAAAATTTTTAGTTAGAAATTTCATAAATTTTTTTTGGATTTATGTCTAAGATTTGAAAATATAATTCAAGATTCCTCATAAGTTTTCCTACATTTAACACAAAAAGTTTGCCGGAAAGTCAATTACATTCTTTATTTGCGTTTGAAGTTGGACATTTTCAATATATCTTGCCTTGCTTTGAACTATTTATAAACATTTTCAATTTTTTTTTCTTCTTTAAATTCCATTTGTCAATACAATTTATAGTTAGTTTGCTGTAATTTAAAAATATTTGTGGTCTATATGGTATGTCTTCATCCAAAACGCTCTGTGTAAGCGGTGTCCATACAATTTATAAATATAAAAATAATAAAAGTGTTTTATTATAAGCTAATTTAAATTTATAGGTAAGTTATTTGAGAAAATTGTTTAGCTAGGTACTTGTTGTCTGCTTTTAAACAGTATGACAATTGTTTTTAAAACTGTGATTAGAAAATTTTTTTTCCTTTAATGACACTAATATTTTTCAAAATATCTTTCACTGTCTTATAGGTAGTATTATTTATTGTTGTTTGATATTAAATATGATTGTTGTTGCTATATTATTTTATTTAAATAATGGATTACCTATATCCCAATAATAATAATAATAATACAAATTGTTTGGGAAGTATAATAAACTAAATAAAAATAAAAATAAATTAATACCTAATAAAAGTTTTTTTTAAAACTATTGGTGATTTGTTTAATGTTTTTAAAACATTTTCAAAATTGTTCAGTAAAATGTTGAGTTCTTCATTTAAGTGGATGTATATCTATGTTTTATTCAATTTAGGTTCTATGAATTTTTTTATGGATACATCTAGCATTGGACCGTATAAACCTATTATTTATATTAAAAACCTGACAATCTGATAACTTCCCATAAATATATGGACAAATATTATAGATATTTCAAATCTAACTTATATTTTATTTTTTATTATAGCTATGCTATGGTGTTGTTATGTGGGAATGCCTCACGGGGAAAATTCCATACAAAGGCTACTATGACAACATAATAATATTTGAAGTGGGTACGGGAACATTGTCCTTAAAAATCTTTGAGGATTGTCCTGATAGTTTACAGGATTTATTGAAGGGTATTCACAAAGATTTATTAATATTGACTATCAACTTGGTGTACTGTGGTTTTTAATTAATTGTATCATTATAGTTTGTTTTGGTAGAGAGTATATCACAAGACCAACTTTTGATACAAACATAGATATCCTCAACAAATCAAAAATTCTAAAATTAAAATGGAATGGAATGCATTCCAAAATGTACAGCACCGTTGGAGGATATTAATTCAAGACAAAGTGAAAAATGTAAGGTAATTTAACATGACAAAAAATTATACCTAAGTAGATACTTTATAACTTATATAGTTATATATACTATACTTTTTTCTTTTCAATGCTTACTTAAGGCTATTAAATCTAAAGAAGAAGTAAGTTTATGTATGCTGAATGTTAGAAATTAACATATTTGTTTGAAATCATGTTATTTTGTGTTTAGGTATCAACGAGTACTACTAGCTCATAAAGGCGAATTATTGCACGCTCAGTTTAAATGAACAATATATACAATAAGGATATACAAAGATAAGAGATCTAGAATACCGCCGTACATAACCAACATCATACAGAAATAACTATGCTATCACATTCTCAATATAATTCCATGATCAACAATTAAAATTAACAAAAATTCTGCATATTACCATGTGGTCGAGCCTCATAAAATAAAATAGTTCATGCCGCCACTGCTACTAGGCAATATAGTTATGTATTTAATTCGACTGAAATCTGTTTAATTAAAACATTTGATTTATCATATTTTGTTTAATGTTATAAAAAAAAGTTTGAATAAATAGCCATACATCATTGGATTCAATAGGATATTCCACATTGAAGACGTGGAATATCTTGAAACACATATCATACATTTTCAAAGCACTAAAAATTTTATATTTTATGCTATCAAAATATATTAATATTAGCTTCGGATCCATCAACGATCCAACGACCAAGACACATGGTTGAATAAGACCTTTATTAGACATATTTTTAAGTGTCGCATCCATTTCCACAGCGGTTGGTTTAATAATGATGAATGCTTTTTGTGAATCCTTTATACTGAATTTAATAAATCCTTTTTTACCATTTTCATCATGTGTTACCTTTTTGGAAGTTGGAATAAATATACTGTGTAACAAATACAATACAATCAAACTCTTGGAATCTGAGTAATTGCCAATTGGTAAAATGTACATACATTTCACCCCCCCCCCCCCCCCCACAGCCAAATTACGCCACTGGGAACGTCGACAATCATATCTATTCTGTAGATCGCATCAACTGCCATACATAAACCTGCAGTTAGTTTCATATTATTATATTAATGAAATATTAAATATAAATATTAGTATATTATTACTCTTATTAATGAAATATACAATATCCATTGAAAATATATATCGTTAATTACAACATTTCAAATTAACCCCCAATTCTTCGGTGGTAATAATAAAATTATATGCAATATTTTTTTTTATTTAATAAGCTTAACTGAAAGGGTTTGTGTTGATATTAGATATTTGATAATTTGATCATCAAATTTTGATGTAGGTACTTAAGTAAAAAAATAACAAAATTATACATGTTAATTTCATAAAATTTAAAAAATAAAACTACAATTTTTTTGTTTCGAAGAGAAAGATTTTGAAAATTTACTCTGAAAATATTTGTGTGTATAGTGGAGAATGTTATGTTGAGTTGTTTATTTTTAACATTTATAGTTGTGATTTTTTTTTTCGAATAAATTTTAAGAAAAATTAATTAATAAAAAAATTTTTAGTGAAATAATTCTTAGCGATTATTTTATATTTTCGTAAATATTACTTTTTTCTGTTTACTGTATATCTATTAAATTTTACATTAATTTATTCTTCTTTAAAACGGATTAATCCTAATCTAATTTATAATTTGAATAACTGCTCTCCCAGCACGAGCTTTGCTTATAGGGGATATCTGCAATATAGTATTCATACTGAGAATTTGATGTTAAAAATTGTTGATGTTGCAATAAAATTTATGATTATTATTAAATAAAAAAAAGTAATTTGTAAAAATGGCTCAAGTATAATAGATCTAATACTTGATCCAATATTACATAACAATATAATATATCCCTATTTCATATTTTTGTAAAACCACTTTAGTATAGAATAAGGACTATTATCCTTAGTACAAACATATGAATAGCCGACAAACTATTCGTTCTAATTTTGAATTAGGTAGGTACCTACATCAAAATGTTCAAAAAATTATTGATCAATGCAGTAGTATTATAATATAACATGCAGTAATTTAATTTTTGCCAATAACATTGTATTTGAAAATTTCATTGTATGTATAAAATATAATAGTTGAAAGTTTCTAAATCCGAAAATAAAATATTTGAATCACTGAAAAATAACTAAAATTGTAATTAGTTGTTCATGTATTTAATTTCTTACAAATTTTAAAATAAAATGTATATAAAAACTGTGTTTATACATATTTCAGATTTCTTAGTTTTAGTATGAAACTATGAACTACTTATGAGCAACCTTAAATGTATAAATTGAAAATTTTGTAAATATTTAACTTTAAAATTATCTGCAAATTTTTGTTATTTTGATGAATTTTGCAAAATTTAAACTTCAAAAGTTGAAAGCATGGAATGATAAATTATTTTCAATAAAAAATATAATGTAAAGTAATTTCTATCAACATTTTATTTTTACATTAAGTATCTACATTATTTATAAATAATAAAGAACTTTTTTTCCAACATTATTTTTCATTAAATACAAGATTTTTAACAATGAAATAAAAATAATGGACCAATAAAGTTTAACCTACATAGCCGCAGTCCCAACGCCTAGGAGTTAAAAAAATATAATATTCATACAATAAAAACAATACTTGGGATTTATTTAACACAGACATGCACATGTAATACATTTTTAGCTGAGTGTCACCACATTGTTACCTAGGTATGATGAATAATATTTTTACTTGAAAAATGTATCTGATCATATTATATTTGTATTTCTGAACATAATTAAATCAATTGCTTATTAATATACATGTAGATATATAATATATAAATAAAACACAATTAATTACATCTTACAAGTCGATTATATTATTAAAAAAAAAATTATTAGTATAAAATTGTTCTTGAAAATTATTTTTCAAGCGGTGCATAATTGAGAAGCTTTTCAATTAAATCAACGTGACCGAGTAACATACGTCTACAACAATATCGCTTAAGTCCAAGTGCATCCAAAGCATCACTGAAAAAAATAAAATTATAAAATACATTAGTAAATTAAAATAAATTAATAGCCATGATCAAAACAAGGAATTAAAATAATTAAAGAAATTTTAAAATTTGACATGGAAAAATAAATAATAACTCTTGAAACTACTAGAATAACAACAAGTATTGCAAGTTTTCCCCTTCTTTGGTAATTGGATAACTGTGAATGTCAACCCATTAAATAGTATGTATCGAGAAATCAGACACTTGCATTATGGGACGGTCTTTATGTTGGCCACTTCATTAATATTTCATGACAAGCATTATTTTATTAAAAGTTAACTATAATAATTTCTTTACAGGGAGCTTAGCAATTAAGTATAAATTGTTTTAAATGTAAATGTAATAAATAACAAATGTATTATCATTGACCATATTATTTTATTGTACAATATATAGGTAAACAATGATATTATTAAATTAGTAGACTTAATGCATTGTATATTATAACAATGAAATTATAATTTAATATGAACTGAATTTGTTACTTAATTATTTGAGGCCAATCGAGCAATAAAATTACCTACATAAGTACAGAAGAGCGTAAAAAAAATGAAAAAAAGAAGTTATTGTGGACTGCTTGAATTTAAATTTCATAGGCTGAAAAATATCCCAAATATACTCATATATCTATTTATAATAAATAATGTGTGAATTGTGAGTCATTAACAAAAGTATAAGAAAAATATTTAGCTATTTTTATATGACTAGTTCACACCATATGTAAACGTAATTGAAAATTAAACTCATTTATACATAAGTTAGAAAAGTGGAGGACAGTAACCTCGATAAATAATTTGATACTAAGTACATAATATCACAATGGAATATTACAGCGGACTTAAATATCTAAGATTCTAATGACGGGGCACATAAAAAATTGAATAATTTAACAGACCAATTATGAGCCACTAAACCATGTTTGAGGGACCAGCTCGTTATGGATTCGTTAAATGCAAAGTGACTGTTTATGGAACCCAGCACTTTACCTTAAAATTAACAGTGTAGGTCCTAGAACGCTTAAAAAATTGATAGGTAACAAGATAATTGTCACAGACAGACCAAATCAATAATATAACATATACACGCGACGAAGGAATTACATAATATAAGAGATTTTCCATTTTCATAATCAGTACCTGTTTATTAAGCAGAAATTTACAACGAAAAACAAATGTTTATGTGGTGGGGGGAGGGGGTTAAGAGTTTCATTTCGGAGTCTTATTTCTAAAACGCCACATCGAATGTACAACACATAAGTACATAACTAACGAATATTCATACAAAGCATTCATGTCTAATGCTAAATGAAATATTACATTACAGTACTCACCCTTCCGTGTATTCAGCTTGTAGTAAGCCTAAGTAACTCTCCCATTTGTTTGCTATGACCTTTCCACACGTGAAGCACCGGATCGGAATGATCATTTTGATTGATTTACTGCGAAAAACCTGCGCCGGTTCGTTAATTGACAATTAATCGAATGTTAATAAACACAAAACACTCGATGGCTAAATATTACGGTTGTTATCAAGTACGTACGAACTACGAATGTGGGCAGCGGGTTACTGGTACAATCACAGTACAATAGAACCGATGCGGCGATGCGTTCCGTTCCGAACAACAGTTCTAGATTCCAGTGCGCCCGGAGTCGATGTTCGACGAAAGCGTGGTTTAGGAACTCACGGCGCACGCGCAACAAGCCTCCACGCCTATTGCGCAGTAATATTTTATTATTTCCCTATGACATGTGTGCCCCTCGCCCCTCCACAGATCACATCATAAGTGAGCACAGACAACTACGGAGTACAAATACTACAATAATACATTGGAATGTTGCGTCGTTGCCGGTTGCCGCACTGAGTGACGAAGTTTCAAACGATTGGCCGAAATTGAGACTCACTGGAATACTGGATAGTGCATTATTTCGAACAGTCGGCCATCTTAGGATACCGTAGATCAACAACGACATTCGTATTTCGCGTCTATCGGTATACGAATATACGATACGCCCCGCCGTGTAGCGTAAAATATCTTACGTGAGTATCTAAGTACCTCTATATCGTATTATTATTAATTTTCTGTCGTCGTCGATCCCGGTGGTACAATATTTACACATCGACTGCAGTGGATCAAACAACAAACTGAACGAATTCTAGTCCGGTAAACAACAGGATCTTACACCAGAGCATTGCCGATCCTGTCCGATCGGTTTTTAAATGGAAGATATCGCTTTCGCCGCATTTGCAGCTGCAGAAGCGTCGACATTCGCAGCGACCGCGGCCAGAGAAGCAGCCACCGCCGCCACTGTAGCAGCCAACGCAGCCACATTAGCCGAAGCGGCAGACGCGTCCAAAGCACTCTCCATCTCGGCTTCCATAGCAGTAACTGCAGCCGCGACAGCAGCAGCCGCCGCTGAAGCGTTGGCGGAAATCGTAGCCGAAGCATTAGAGATCGACGAGGAACTGTTGGCTGAACGCACGGCTGCCGCCGCGTGAGCCAGACGCGCATATCGCTTGATATCCACTTAACACTCCACACAATTCGGTTAGGTCACGTCAACCTACTCCTTGGCTTTTCCGTCTAGTGCACCAGGTAACTGACTCGTTTATTTCTAATCACATGTGTACTGCATTCCGTTGTTTCTTCTAAATTGCATTATTTTTTTATTTTAAATTTTTTTTTTGATATGTAGTGACAAAAAGCAGAACAAGACCACTATAAAATCCAACATGATTATCAATACGCCCGTAAGTTTAATGATGTACACATTTTTTCCCAACATGAATACTGGTTATCGTTGATTAACCATACTTGCACGGTTTGTTCATATAGGATTATTCTACTTCGGATCACGTCTCTTTGGACGAAAACAATGGTGAATTTAATACCTCCCCTGCAGTGTATGAGCCAGCTGAAGATACATTTTTGATGTTGGACGTTTTGGAATTGGACTTGGAGCAAGTGATTAAAACCCGGTTGTCAAAAACAAATATTCGTCCATCTGACAAATGTGGACCACTGCTGATCATTGAATTAGGTAGTGGTTTTGGCATCCTTACTGCTGCTATATCAAAGGCTCTAAGTGATTCACTTTCATCGTATATTGTTGGAGCTAACTGTATAGCTGTAGACATGAATCCAACTGCTTGTCTTAAAACCATTATGACGTGCAAACTTAATGGTGTTGAAGTGAGTGTATAGCTATATAATTATTTTTAAATATACATTTTTGTGACTCATTTGTGTTTTTATATCTAGGTGGATGCAGTACGTGGCGACCTACTGACATGGATGCGACGTCCAGAAACAACCGATGTCAATAATGACCCTAACAAACAAGTGTTTGGCCCAATTGATATACTTTTATTCAATCCGCCATATGTTCGAGGTCCAAAGGGTGAACTTGCACCAACACCTAGAGTAACAAAAAATGACACTAACGATCAGGCTAAATACCAAAAGCAAGTAGCGGTTGAAGATGCAGCTTGGCTGGGTGGTGGCCCAGATGGTGTAGATGTACTTAAGAGGTTGGTATGAGTGTATAACTACTGTGTACCTAGCACCTATACCTATAGTAATTTAATAATTTTTGTTTGATTTTTTTATTAATTAGGGCGTTGCATCAGGCCGCAGATCTTCTATCAGAGTTTGGAGTATTCTATGCACTGATGATTGATTACAATTATAATGCGCTGGTGCGAGATGAGATGCAAGCTCGTCGTGATCGATCTGACCAGAATATTTATTATGATGACTTGAACAATATAGAGTTGACAACTTTTGGAAGCAGCCCAGCTAGCAGACCATTAATATGCACCCGTATCTTGTCCCGGAACATCATTGGTGAACGCTTAGCTGTATACCGAATTTATCGGCCTTTAGATTTTGACTAATCGCACCCTGCATTATGTTGGACTGACTACTATCATAGTGCATTCATTTTATTAACATTCCTTTAAATTTATTTTTCATTTAAATATTTGACATATTTATATCATTATACTTCTTTATTTGCATTTATTGCGGCACTTACTGTATCCCATTCAATTTATTTTTTGTAATACTATGTATTACACAAGTCAGTTAAATTAAACATATAATACAGAGTCTATTTAATACTTAAATATTTAAATATTATTTTTTTATACTGTAAAATATATTGTTATAAAACAATCCATTCGTTCAATTTTTTAACTTTTATTTCTATTTTGTTTTTTTTAATCACTTTCTTGTAGTTTTTATCAATTTAATTTTTTTAATACCGTGTTAAAATTTGAAGCCAATTAAGAAAATATTATTTATACTCGTAATATTATTAATTATTTGTTTTATAATAAAAATATAAGCGTTTCGTTTTAAGTAAGAAAAATTACTTGGAAAATAAATAACTTATAGTTTTCAATTTATTAAGAATTATAAAAGTTGTAAAATTGATGGATATTCTATTTTTTTTTCATCTTTTCAAATTAAAATATTTTTGTAGTATATTTTGTACTTTGGTAAGTAATTAAAAATATTTTGACTGAATTTCATTTGTGTCTTCAAATTTATTTCACAGTTTATATTTCATATACCATAATAAAAATAAAAATAATCCTTGAGTACTTAGCACATTCATCTTTTAAGTGACATCTATCTATAAAAACATTTTCTTTATATTAAAAAAATTATGCACTTAAAATAGGTATTATTTGGTTAATTATTTTTATTAAAATTTGTTGTTTAAAAGATGAGTTTGTAATTGAGATTTATAAATCATAAACTAAACCTAACTGACGTCGTCAACCATGGTAATTGCTTTGGGATTTATTTTAAATAACTGTTGATAATAAAATAATATATTACAATTTTTAGGTCATATTTGTATCTTAGAATATAAAATACATAAGTTGTTTCCAAGTGGCAAGTACCTAATCAACTTATAATTTAAATTTTAATGTTTAATATTGTTTAATTGCTTATTACTTTCATTTAATCTTTAACTTTTATTAATTATGCACCTCTAACAACAACAGCTTACATGTATCAGTGTAAACAAATTGTTTGCAATATTTTTTTTTATCTATAATCTGTTTGACACATGTTTCATTAAAATAAATTACGGTCAACTTTTTTATTTGTTTCTTTAGCTTACATTTCCTTTAGAAATGTAGAATATTACTCTTAGTTTTGCTTCTATTGATATTTTAATTTGTAAAACGAAATTATATTTTATTGTTCACCTTAAGCTTTTATTAGTTAATATGGTTTAAAAAATTCAGGTTTGACATTAAAAATTATAGTACGTTTTCTTAAATTCTATCCCAGTTATGATCTTAATTAATTCGTTGTTTCATTGGGAGTAAATTTGCTTATACATGTATGATTTCTTTCACAATTTGTAGTGAAATAGTATTGTATTTTATTTATGTATGACTTTTTTTTTATCGATTAGCATCTACATTTCAGAATAGTTTTAGTCAAGTGCGGTGATGCTACTAGAATTGGGATTTTTGACGTATACATCCATTATTTGGACGGCCGGCGGACATGTGATGATCACCCCAATAATATTGACTATTGAGTCCTTCCTAGACGGAGTCGTCGCCTTAGATTTTGTGTGCCGGTGGCTGTGATACGACCCGGATTAGAAGACGCAGAGTAGTCCTGAGAACTGATGCAAGGCCCTCCAACCGTTTGGTGACGCGAGATCAGTTAATGCGGCGGTGTTAGCAATCGCACTAAATGGCAGGAAGCAGGCCAGTCGAGTGGCTCGCAGGCGTGGTTTTGTAGGGTGTCAAAAACCGCAGTGTCACACTGTGGGATAAGTGTCAATTTTAGCTGGTGAAGAGTACTATTTTTAAAACGAAAAAATTATTGCTTTTTTTATCAATAATTTATATTTACAATATTCTGACGTTAAGAATACAATTTTAAAAGAATTAATTAACATACACCCGACTTATAGAGCTGTTTGTATAAGATATATATATTATTTGATTGATATTTTCAAACTTTTATAAATTTTTATATTATTTAATTTTCTCAATTAAAATGATAAAAAGTATAAATTTTTATTCAGTTATTATATTATCCTAGATATAATAATGACATATTATTTTTAAATAATTTGCTGTATTAAGTTGAAAATTTAAGTGTTTTCATGGTTTTTGAACTTTGGATGAATGATAGTTAAATTTACGAAGTTTTACCAATTATTCAAATTCAATATATACATATTGTAAAGGAAATTGATAGCTGTTTAATAATATAAACAGTTTTTGCATTCAGATTCAATAGTCATTTACAAAAATGAAATATAAATATAAAAATGTATAAAAGTTTGAAAATATCAATTATCAAATAATACATAACTATATTTTATACAAACAGCTCTATAAGTTAGATTTATGTTAATTAATTCTTTTAAAATTGTATTCTTAACTTCAGAATATTGTAAAGATAAATTACTAATAAAAGAAACCCAACATTTTTTTGTTTTAAAAATAGTACCTTTTGGAAGCTAAAATTGCCATACATCCCACTGTATGTCGCTATAGCCGGAGCACTGCAAGCGTAAAGTACATAACATAATAATATAATACATGTAACATAACTAACTCAAGGCCGGATTTTGAACAATTTCCACCCTAGGCCCTTTTAAATACGCCAAACCTTCAAAAAAAATATCAAGTTTTCATTACTTGTATGAGCTCAATCAATTTTAATATAAAGTTAAATTTAATTAGTCAATTAAAATTAATTGTAAGAAATTACACTGGAAAAACACATTTAAGATTTTATGAACACAAATTTTAAATATTCAACTTTAACTGGAAGTTATAATACTTATCTATAAGTTTGAACAGCTCAAAAATTGTCAAACCATTTTGTAAATTTTATCATGTATGATGTATAGAAAATGATAATTTTAACATTTGGTGATAATGTCAAGAATCTAAGGTCCGACGCGTAATCAAAGGGGTAACTCGTAGTCTAACTGACAAAGGGCCTTTTATAGCCTATAAAATAATTTTATATTAAAAAAATGATTTTACAAAAGCCCTATAGACAAGAGTGGTCATTAAAATTAAATAAAAATATTGGACACTTTATAGTTACCTAACTAAATATAATAATATAAAAACAAATTAAATGTGTGCTGTATAAATGTTTTAAATTACAAAAAATATTTATTTTGATGATGATGGCTGGTAAATTTCTTCTTCTGCTATTTTTGTGTACATTTGTGCGGAACTAACATCGAGTAACTTAGGTTATTTTAATAAAATATTATAAAATTAATTACAAGAATGGTTTTTAAAATTTGTTTACACAATGATAATTTATTTGATAGTTTCAACCAAAAACCATTATTCGTCTGTCCACAACACTATTTAATGTTTGAAGGAATCCGTAATTAAATTGACATAGATATAATATTGTGGATATTATAAATATAAATATACCTAATAGAAATATAGAATAATAGATAGGTATATAGAATAATAGATATTGTAGTCTGCAACATGAACGCAACTTTCTGCGGTGAGTCGTGACTCGTGGGTGGGATTGTACTTGTTTACTCGACAACGTCGTCACTCACCAATATAATAAAAATATAAAGTAGGTACGTTTTACGTTACCGACTAGTGAAAACGTCACAATACGATGTGCCATTATAAGTTTCATATTTTCTACCTGCAGCAATTATAGTCAAAACAAGTATTCAGAAACACCACTGAAAAGTACCTATATAGTTTCGAATATTCTATTAATATTGTCATACAAAAATATCGTAGAAAAACGATTTTTTTATAAAATAAATTTCAAAAAGTTATAAATTAACAGTAATGGGAAAAACGGGACCAAACGGATCTCGTTAACATTTGTCGGGACAACGGGACACAAAGTTGAAGTACGGGACAATCCCCCCCACCCAATACAAAACTCCTGGCTACGCCATTGTCTAAGGGTATTCGTTTTTGAGTTACACCAACTAAAAAAAAATATTTTGTCGATAGCTAGTTGGAGTTGTTTTCCAAAAAAAAATTAACTGAGCTTAGTTAAAACTTTTGTGTAAGTATTAATTTCCATTAACCACACTCATAAGGTTATACACGTGTTTCAAACTATAAACGAATGTAAAATCACAGGTGCATTACGCTGGCATCCGCAGGTTGGAAAATGTACTCAGAACCGGTACCAAAATTTGTTATATAATTTGTACAACACATTACCGAAATTTGTACAACCACCCGAACGGGATAAAATCGGGTTTTTATTTCGGATCCCAGCGTAATGTTACTCCAGCATCAGCTTTTATAATTTTGATCTTAGACGCTGAAAACCGCCAACCGGTACAACAATTGGTTATATAATTTGTATATTTTCCGTAATGCGATTACAAATGTGTACAAATTATATGAATTTTTTTGGTACAGGCTTTTAGTACATTTTCCAACATGCGGATGTCAGCGTAAAGCACCATAAAATCACTTGTATTATTTTAGTGTAAGACGCAAATGGGGTATAGAGATGATTTATCCGTATAATTATATATATTATATATAATATACTCTTAGATAGGGGGGAGGTCAAAAGTAAAAAATTCTCAATCATTTTCAAAAGCGTCAGGAAAAATTAAGTAAAAATTGAGATTTTTACGCAAAACAAATTTTTTTGGCAAAACTGAACCTACTGTTGTATTATTACCCAATAGTAAAATAAATTTCTTTAATTAAAATATACAATAATATCATAAAATATATCTACCTATATATGGTGGATTGGATAATGGTAAGAGTTATATGTAATTAATAATTATAATTTATATTGTAAAAATGTACTTAAAAATTAAGTAAAAATTGAGATTTTTACGCAAAACAAATTTTTTTGGCAAAACTGAACCTAC